ATAACTAAGACTTGGCCAAAAAATTGTCCCATGCTTTTGGCAACAGTGATTGGTCAGGAAAGGGCATGTGACCCAACTGCAAACAATTAGGCACAATGGGACTTTTGAAGAAACTAGTGAGAGACAATCCGTTTTTAGCAGCACCTGAAGCTTGGAGGATGTTGCCAGACAAGAAGTCTCATAATGAAGTTAGTCCAGAGTATAGGGCCAAAAAAGGGGGATAGAAATTGAATCTTGATGGCATAATTGAGCCAAAGTATGATAGGTCCTTCCAGAGGCCAACCTTATTCTCAGACTTTTTATGAAAATGAGTCCTTTTTTTTTTAAGTCTTCAAGAGCAGAGGCTCTTAAGTCCATCATGATTATAACTGTGATGTTCAATGTCCAAGGCCATTTGGCCTATTAAAAGGCCAATGGCTACACTGTCTCTATGCCAACTGTCTGCAATGCAATGTATTGCTTCAGTTCCCAAGATAATAGGGTTGATGATTAGTTATCTCAGCAAACATCATTTCAGCCCTTAAAAAATTGTGCTGTGTACAAAAGGACTTTCACATGGAACCCATCTACTTAAGGAATTATCTTTATATCCCTATTCTCAAGTTATTGGAGCCACTGCTACTGTTAGGCAACTATCCTTATTTCAACCCAACAACTGTGTGAACCCCTATCTCCTCTATCCTGGGAACACCAGCCAATGTTACTCTCACATGAGAGTCTGCACAGGACTGTACAGTAGGTGCCTCACAACTTCTGTTTGGGTCAGGAAACATGGTAGGCATTAATAATCCCAGAGACCAGAAGCCCAGAACTTCCTGTAAGACAAAATAGGAAAGTTCATTTTTATTCCTTCGGAGTCCCCTCTGGCAGGGAGTAGGAACATCAAAACCTTGGTAAAATGTCCTGCCTCAAATGAAGATGGACTGAATCCCTGCACAGGAAAATTACGCACTCTTGTCAGCCTAACTTCCTTCCCACAGTGAAGCACTGCTAAACTTGCATAATAATGTTTCTTTTATGGACGCCCAGTCCCCCACAAGGAAGGAAGGAACAGACCCTATGTCTCTTGAGAGAAATAAGACAGTCTCCACAATGGTCTCCCTAACAAAAACTAAATAATGTCCTTGTGCCCTAGGAGAATAGCCCAATATACACACTGATTCAGGGCCAATGGAGGTTCTAGAAGTAGGGATTCAAGAGAAGGATTCATAGCCTGGTCTTTTGCACTGAGACTGCAGAATGGGTCATAGTTTTCAGTGTTAATCTCTCTGAAGGCTGCCTCAAGGAATCTGATTTTCTTAGGCACCACCTGGCACCAGAGATATTCACAATACATAAAGCTGGGATCTAGGGTCCCCAGGCCCAGTCCAGGTGAAGGTACCAGTCCATTCATGCATTTTGTTTGCCCTGATATTAGGTCAGGGTGTGAGCATGAGATTGTAAAAAATATGGTAGTGCATTCCCATTGAATGTTAGTGACAATTCTTCAGGTGCCACGCTATATATCATGTAAATGATACCCCCCCCAAAAAAAAATATGTAACACTGATCCATGAGTGTGGGCACAAAGCACATGAAACGGAGAAATTGATCCTCATCTCTCCAATCATTTTCTCAACATACTTTCCTGTTTTCTATAATGGTCCTGCTTTCCCATAGGAACAAAAGTCTAAGAAAACGTAAAAAGTCCTAGAAGCAGAACAAGGGTTTGGGATCACTCCTGGACAGTGCTGCCACCTCATTTGGACAGGTCACTTTCTAGATATTCTGAGTGTGCAAATTCATTCTCATGACCTCATTCAATGTTTCTCTGACTGGTTATATGACCCCAAACCAAGTAACTCAGGCCTTAAGCCACCACATCTTTGTTGATTCAAAGTCCTTGGGCCATGAGTACATGGAAAACATTCCACAATGGGAGATACATGGTCTGAATTCCCTAGTACAGTACTAACGTTTCCATCAATCGGGTGACTCGTTCTCTCTCATGGTCAAACAGTAAGAATTAAATATGAAATAATATATGTGCTATATTAAGTATACTAAGAAGAATAGAAATTAAACCTTGTAACCTGTATGGTTTGCTTCCTCTTGAGGTACTGTCACAAACAGAATACCTCTACAAGAACTGATGGTTGCCTCTTTAGGCTTATGGTCTGGGAGCCAAGGAAGAGTGAAGAGACTGTAGTGGAGCCAGGACAAGCCTTATTTTCCCTCTCTTCTAAGTCTAAATACTGTCTTTGATGAGTCAGGTGGTTCTAAGGGCTTCTTTTACTTCACCATTCATGATGATGCCATAACACCTTTACCTCCATGGCACTGTTCCCATACCACCTATCCCTCTTTCTTTGGATGCTCCAATTCTTTTGATGTTTTTCTTACCAGCCACCACTATATCTATCAATTAAACAGTTTTGACCTTGATGGCATTCGTATAGTTGAGGATGAGGATCCACTTGGCAACTTTGGCCACTTGTGCTTCAGTGAACTTAGTGTGGTATCCAGGAAGAAATCCTTGTGTTAGGAAGACTTCTAAGAAGATTCCGATGATATGGATACCTCTTAATTCACACCATGAGTAATTACCCTTTCCCTTGTGTGTAGGCTCACTTAGTGATTTGCTTCTGGCTCACAGGATAAGGTGATAGGATGTCATTTCAATTAGTTTATAAAAGATTGTAACTTCTGTCTTTATAGCAGACTCTCTCCTGGCTTTGATGAAGCAAGCTGCCATGTTGGAGTGGCCCACATGACAAGGAACTGAGGACTATAGCCAACTATAACCAACAGTCAGCAAGGAATTGAGTACCTCAATCCAATAGGCCTTAAGGAACTGAATCCCAACAACAGCTTCATAAGTGAGCACACAAGTGGGTCCTTCTCCAGGTGAGCCTTCAGGTGAAACCCGAGCCCAGCTGCCACTGTAATTGCAACATTTTGAGAGACTCTGAAGCAGATAATCCAGGTAGGCTAGGTCAACATTCCCAACCCACAAAACCTGTGAGATGATAAATATCTGTTTTTTAAAGCACTAAATTTTGAAGTATCCATTATATAGCAAGAGTTAACTAAAACAACCCTAAATTTCTAGAGCCTTGGTGTAAGATATAGTATGGCTGGGAAGGTAGGCACCATGTAGGAGGACAGCTTCCCGACATCCTTGGAGATATTGTTTTCATATTCAATGATCATCCTACATATTTTTTATGCTAAAATGGTATCATTGTGCTCTACCAAGCCCTGGCTAGTCTCCAGGAGGTACATTGGAGGTAAGATAATGTTTGGTGGAATGGATAGCCAGGATGGGGTCATGAGTTGTAATGATATCATTTTTCTCCTCATTCTTTTCTTCTTTCCCACTCACTCCACCATTAATTTTCATTACTATTTGTCTCCCTTTCCCCAAAATTCTGGGTGGCTTCCTGGTGACCACTCCTACAAGTGATGGCCAGGTGATCTCTTGGTCTTGTAATAATGCTATCAAGCTAGGCATCCTTAAAAGATTTCCCTGAGAAGCAGGAAGAGCTTGTCCTGTCCCTTGAGGTACTGTCACAAACAGGAAAACCTCATCACTGAGGTCAAAATATGCCTACCAGAGAGATTAACACCCCACTTATAACAGATTCATCAGTCAGACCCACCCCATTCCTAGACCCTACCCTGGCCAATCCAGTATAACCCATTCATGTAACCCACTCAAGGACTATCCATTGATATATACCCCACTCATATACACCTCATTCATATACACCCCACTCAATAACTACCCTCCTGTGAGATACTCTGGAGTCAGGAATTTTCTAAATAAAAGTTAACCACTGTTTTCAGGAAATTATTCCTATCTCTGGTTCTTTTCAGAAATTCAAGTTCTGTCATGTCTTCTGCTCCAGTAAGTGAAGAGGAATGGGAAACGGTGAACTGCTACACATTTTCATTAGAATAAGCTAAGGGGTGGGAAACATAACCCATCACCCCAAAGTTCATGAGGGGGAGAGAGCTCTTAGGAACAGGTGACATTTATTCTTCACCAAGAGACCTAAGAGGAAGATTTCTCCCTACCACCAACCTCTGCTCCTAAACACCCTTCCTTTCCCACTTCAAATTCCAAAACTTTTGGGGGTAACAAGGGAGGATTCTGGCTATATGTGAGGGAGCAGGTAAAAAGACAGTGTGAGCCAAGTTCTGGACTTTAGGGTTTTTCTCACTTTGAAAATGCCTGAAAGGTTGTACTCTCTATGAGAAAATAATGTTTTTAACTACAGGAAATCTGAGCAGGGTCAAATAAAGGATCCCAGGATAAAACTGAGGCCACCTAGACTCCCTACAAGGGACTGGTCATCTTTTAGAAACAAAAAGAGGAAATCTGTTAGAACTGAAATGACTCCTTCATTTTTCTAAGCACAAGTTCATGGATATGAAAAACCCAAGACCCAGTGTAGTACACAGAGGACACCCTACTCCATTACAAGAAACATTTATTGAGCAGGATCAATATCTTTGGTTATTTTTAAAGAAAGATTGTTTTCATCAGAGGCTTTGTTGTCATGAAAATGGTGAGGCTTTGTCAACAAGGACCAAATGATTTCTTTAAAGAAATTTTTTCTCCTTTATGGTGCTGGAGAAATGTTTTCTGTTTGAAAAGAAGAGTCAAATCTCTGAGCGCAGTGTCTTCATGGGCGGGCGGGGGGACGGGGAGGGGGGAGAGGCTGGAGGGACCTGGCATAATTGATGTTTGCTGGGGTGGGTCTTGGATGGGCTACCGAGAGTGTGGGGAAGGACGTTGACTCTGGCACAGCAGCTGGTCCTTGAAGGCTACAACTTTCTGAGGAATGTCTGATCCTGACTCTGTTCTTTGTAACACTTGCAAGAAAACTCTACTTAGTGACAAATTCTTGGTTACAGCATTTGGCACTTGCACATTCTTCTTGGTAGTGGGTCAGAGAGAGCCCCCCATAGTTGGAGGGATGTCCCTTGTCAGGCTCTTCCTAGGACTGCAGTTCCTACTTCTTTTGACGTAAATGAAAGGCCTGAAGTTCATGACTATTTGGCAATTTTTCCTCTAGGAACTTCCCAATGGCTGTCATGAGCTCATGAGCTTCAGAAAGCCCACAATCCAAAAAGATAGCTTCACTTTCAGCTAAGTCATGTTCCTGTGCAAATGTTGATGCGAAGTTGGTTTTTTGCTGGCGAGTTTCCAGCTCTTTACTTTTTCTTTTGGAATTGACCCACTGAGAAAATTCCCTCCTCTTTTTTTTGAAGTAACTATCAGGAGGAGACTGTTCATTTTGTGACAAAGACAGGAAAGGGCCCTCTAATTCTTTATCCTTAACAGGGTGGCTCTTCTTTCTAGCTTTAGATGTCCATGCACTCGAATCCTCACTTCTACATTCTCCTGCTTTGGAATCCAAAGTTATCACTTTCTTAGCCACTGGTGGTAAATTGATATCTTGGCACTTCCATAAGACATTCTTAGGGACCCAGGATTCCTGCCTGAGCTCTGTGCTGTCCTCAAAGTGGACATGAGGCCCCTTGGACACTCCCATGTGCCCACTGGAGATGCTCCGGGGCAGAGTTGGTGAGGCTAGGGAAGGAAAGCTATCTGAAGTAAGGGACATGTCAGTGGGACAGCCTTGATTGCGGCTTTGCTCCCTGCTCTTCAATTTAAGTTTTAACTCAGCAAGGAGCTGTTTTTGCAGGTTTGATAGTTTAGAATTTTGGGGCTCTAATATTTTTGGTGAGGGATCCTCAGTGGTCAGGGTAGATTCTTCTTTACTCATATTGACATTTATCATTTGGGAGACTCCCAACTCCTGGGTTGTCAAGATGTCACAAGCTAGTGATTTAATTGCATATGGCTCCTGGGCCTTTAATATCTCACTGAACATTTTGGAGACGGGAAAATATTCTAAATTTTCTACCACTGTCTTTTGGCCCTGAATCAATGTTGCTCTATCACGGGAACTCACATTCTCATCCCTTGGCTCATGTCCAGCTCCAGCTAGCTTCCTGGGCACCTTTGGGCTGTATCTATTGTCCAGTACAATCTCACTCTGTCTCCCTTTGTCTATGGTGTGGTGCCTGAGGGGCTGAAAAGTCTGCATGCCACACACAGTTTTCTGGACATTCTCTGCAAGCTTATGTTCCATACCAGCATGTGATGTTTTCGGGACCCCCTGTCCTTCCCAGCTTACATATGGGAAAGCTGGGAGAGGAGACTCCAGGATACCAACTGAATTTATTCCCAGCTTGTTTCCCTGAAAAGTTTTGGAGCTTCCCTCAAGGGGCTTGAAAACCTCAGCTTCAGAAACTACATTAGAAACATGGGTGGCTGAGGAGGGAAAGTCAAACTGGGGAAGAGGCCATGTTTTGCCTTCTCTTGCTGTATATAATTTTATGGATTGAATAACCTTTAGTGGGAGGCCCCATCTCTGATTCACACGAAACCTTATAATATGGGCTTCAAGCACTTTTCGAGTATTGGGATCAAGAAAAGAAAGCTCTAGAGTGGTAATCTGGTAGTAGACTCTACCAGTCATTGTGTTTTTTGAATTTTTAATTTTCTTATTGGTGTGGGAATTCCCAGAAGGCGGCCATGTATTGTCCTCGGCCATCCATGAATGACACACGCCTATAGGGATTCTACCCTCAGTGATCTGTGAAGACTTCTTGCTCAAATGTAATCTAAGAATGGCTTTAATTTTATTCCAGTTTATGCCCTTCCTTGAGACACTTAATAATTTCTTTCCTAAGTGACTCGAGTGACACACACAGTTACTTTTTGTCTCTGAGGCAGCCCTCAGGCGCTTTACTAGGTAGCATTCTGAGATCCTTTGTGGGCTGTCTTCTGGGCTCTTCTCTAGGATATACCCAAGATTCCTCTTTATGTCCTCCCTTAGCTGAAAGTTTTGTGGAACCCCCTCACATAAATGTCCTGGGAAACACAATTCATTCTTGCCTAGTGACTTGCTACATTCTCCTTGAAGCTCAGAGAGTTGTAAGTGAGCATACCCGTCTTTCTGCAGAGAAGTTTCTGTTAATTGACACTGAGGTGCCCTCAGTTCTAGAGGCTCTAGATTCCTACAGGCATGATGGCATTGGAATGGGATTATCCTACTCGGAGCATAGAGCTGCAGTTGCCCCTGAGGTTCATTGGTGGTATGAAAATGGCCAGGAAGGATGGAGACTGGTACATAGGCATGGGATGACTGGCTGACCAATGGAAGGTTGGGAGCTTGAGGACAAGTGGCATCTTGAGCTTTTTGGAGAACAGGGACTAAGCCCTGCAAACTTTCCTGTTGCATCTGCAACATATGGCATCCCAGGTGTTGATTTTCACTCAAGATATTAGAGTCTGACTCATTCTGAGATCTATTGAAAGACACTCCACAGTCCCTAATCTGGGATGAAGAAGAAGATGGTAGGATTGCGAGTTGGGATTGAAAGTGGGGCTGGGGCTGGGGCTGGACCTGAGTGAAATATTGTGCTTGGGGCTTGATTTGAGGCAAATGTTGAGGATCTACATTGTTTAGGGGAAGGAAATGGAAATGAGGGAATGGTGGAGATCCTTGATGCTGCATTTTGAGTACAGAAGCATTACAAATTCCATTGAATAAGACAAAGCGAGTTTCTAGTGGAGAACTACTATTGGAAACCAGGAAAGTAGCTACTAGGGACTCACTGTGCAAAGAAGGAAGACCCCAGAAGAGCTGGCTATATTTCTGCTGCAAGTTTTCTTCCAGTGTCTTGACATAAAATAGCTCCTGGCTATCGTGCAACTGCTCTGGTTTGTCTCCAATGTTCCAGCCAGTTTGGGGGACTATGGTGTTCTGTATATCAAGTAGTTGCAATGAATTCCCTAAAGATGACTGTTGGTATTCTGACCAAATTTGTTTTGAAAATGGTCCCTGCTTATTTTCTTTCTTCTCTAAAATCTGAAAAGCCTTTCTCTTTATTTGTCTCTCCAGGAGTTCCTGGACATTAAGGCCAAGGAAAGAATGGCTACTGGCCTCCATGTGCTTTGAAACAGAGTCTCCCCAGAGACCAGTCTCTGGTAGATGGAGAAAAACATGCTCTTGCTGAAAATCAGAGTGTGATAATGTGGGGAGAAACATGTTCTTGGCATAAGCCTGCCAACAGGAAATATCTGATAATGACAGGTTTGAATGGTCAGTGTCTCTGATTGTTGATTGATGAGTGGACAGTCCACCAGTACTATCTGGAGACAAGTCCTCTGGAACAGGCTTCAGTGAGGGGAAAATTGATTTTGATTGAATCACAGTGGAAGGGAAGTCTGGTAGTTGTGAAGTAGACAGCATTGGTGGGATGTGTTGACAAGCAGATGAATCAGTGGGATTCGTTGACTGTGACAAACCTGGTAAGAAGTTGATATCTTGAGTAAGGATGGTATCACTTGAGAAGATGGTATTCAGAGACAAAATAGAATCTTATTGAAGAATAGGATCCACTCTCTGATTGTCATGTGGTGAGAGACGGGTACGGCAGGGGGTTTGAGTGGGAAATGGTCTACTGGGAATTTGGATTCTAAAGTAGGAAAAGGTCTAGTGGCAGAAAGTAACCCAATGGTGAAGGTAAAACAAAGTCAACTATGGGGATCATTGGATTAGGGGAGAAAATATGAGGTGGTGGTGGGAAAGGCTCGGGCAGAAGGGTAGGGATTGGGTCTCTTAGTGGGACTACTGAGAAGGCAGAAGACAGAGAGTATGATGCCTCAGTACCAGAAACTGTGGAAGCCAAAGGGATAGCATCTTCCAAGGCCTCTGAGAACAACAGCTGGTTGACCTCAGCACTTGCGTTATTACATATCTCACAGAAGGGGTCTGGACATAATTGATGAAATTGGATATCATGATGATGGCCCTGGGAGCTGCAGAGAAAGGAGGTACAAAATTATTGCCAGGCCCTAGCTGGTTTGGCTCAATGGATAGAGCATCGGCCTGCGAACTGGAGGGTCCAGAGTTCAATTCCGGTCAAGGGTACTTGCCGGGGTTGCAGGCTTGATCCCCGGTAGTGGGTGTGCAGGAGGCAGCCAATCAATGATTCTCATCATTGATGTTTCTATCTCTCTCTCCCCTCTTCCTTTCTCTCTGAAATAAAAAAAAAAAAACACAAAAAAACAAAAAAAAAACTATTGCCAGGACCAGATCTTGGGATCTTGGCAGGTCTGGCACAGGTAGGGCTTCACACTATATACAATCCTTTCAATTTTGATACTTCCTTGATCTCACAATATAATTTGTACTCCTTTCCCAAAGGCTTTCACATTCTGATTCTGATGATTTCCCCTGTCAATCCCAGGTTTCACTGAAGCCCTAGATTCTACTAAAAAGCCTTAGACCAGTGATGGCGAACCTATGACACGTGTGTCAGAGGTGACACGCGAACTCATTTTTTTGGTTGATTTTTCTTTGTTAAATGGCATTTAAATATATAAAATAAATATCAAAAATATTAATCTTTGTTTTACTATGGTTGCAAATATCAAAAAATTTCTATATGTTGCAAATATCAAAAAATTCCTATAAGTTAGGGTTTTTCAAAATGCTGACACGCTGAGCTCAAAAGGCTCGCCATCACTGCCTTAGACTCTGCTAAAGAGCCTTAGACACTGCTAAAAAGAGGATTACAGAATCAAAGCAATAAAGTTTAGTCACCTTTGCAGAAGAGAAAGCACCTTCCTTGCCTCCTCCACTTCACTCCGGTAAGTTTTCCAACCTGAGAAACCAGGAAAGTGATGAAGGTAGAAGCAAAGACATCTTATAGAAGGCTATTTAGAATGTTCTTGAAAGGTACCCTTGGTAGATTGGATTTGGAAAGCCCCAAAAATTAGGATTCAAGGTCACATGTTCAGTGATAATAACAAAGCTCAGGTGTGAATTGTTTTATCATTCACAAAGGGCTTTCACATATATTATCTCATATTTAAAACAACCCTTTGAGGAGCATTGGTCAATGGTTATCTCAAAGGGGAATTTCAGTTCCAGAGAGTTAGTCGTTGTTAAAGTCAGTAGACAGTAGTCTGGCTCTCGACATCTCACATGGCCACCTGTGGGCAACACCCAGGCCCAGGTCCATCACTGCTTCATTTACCCACAAATATAGAGCAGGGAATCTGAGAAGTATCTCAGGTTCTGAGTGTCTTCTCATGAGCCTCTCCTCTGAAGGCTCTGTTTTCTGAGAGGGACTGTATCTAGACTGACATCCTCAGAGACTATGGACCTAGGACCTCATGGAAAGTACAGAAAGGAGATCTCACATAAAAAAAGCAGAACCTTACCTTTCCGTCTACCACCTTTTTTCCACCTCTTGGCTTTGCCCTGATGCTGAGAACAAAAAGAAAAGAATGAGGGGCTAAGACACATTTCTTTCACTCCTCTCCATAGGAAACTGAGACAGTTATGATCCAAGAATAATACAACTCTTTCTGTCAATTAATATAATTTGCATTTTTATCTTTTATTAAGTGTTAAGGGGGATAAAATATTTTCAATGTTTTTCTTCTTAGAAAAATTCAAAGAGGGGTTGTATCTATGAGGTTCATTCTTAGTATTCTCAGTCAGAAGTTCTCTGCTTAAGGAGGACATAAAATCTGAGACCAGCAGTTTCATCTGTGCTCCCTCAGCTAGGACCCTGTAACCCGGGACAGAGCTCCGGCTCCAGCCCCGCTTAGAGGTACTCAGAGCCTAAGCACTGTTCTCCCGATCAGCTCAATACAAAGGAAGGCTTGGTCCAGTGACACCTGACATGGGAATGTGACTCATGATAAAGTGCAAAGATTCCAAACTTTCTAAATAACACAATCTAGAACTACAGATATATTGTGTTGAGATTTTATCCAGCAACATGCCACCACACCCAGATGGTTTGTGAAATCTTAATCTTTCCTGACCACTAGAACTGCTCGGTCTCTTCCCCTACAAGAGTGATGTTCTCTATTCTCTCTTCAGACTTCCCATTTTAAGTGGCTCTCTAACCCAAACAAACTCATTTATAAATGTGAGAAGAGTAACAGGAAAATAAAGAATCCTTCTTTGGGGGGGAAATGTATAGTTCTATGTCTGATATTTAAATTGCTTATATTTAAAGACATCTGTCCAGTTTATAGAAGCAAAAGCCTGAAAAATGGAAAAGCAATTACTTTTCTCGGAGCCATCAGAGAATTGAGATCAAAGGGCAAAGCTCTACCCAAAATTTTCATAGATAGTAAATTCAGAGAATCATAGTCAAGATCCACTTAAATGGAGCAGAAGCCACTGGAACCATAAACTGGTAGGACACTTAAAAGACACATTGACAAATTGCCGGAGGTCACATGTGGGGCCCCCAACTATTTATGGATTTACCCCCAAGAACTTCATTAGGTTCTCACAATGAAAAAACTCTCATGTTGTTTGCCAAAGTGTGGAGTGGGGTGAAAGATAACCATTTTGAAACATTTTTAAATATTCCCTGAGTGTTATCCATCACAGAAGCCTCCTCAGTTGACAAAAGGACTACCAGAGCCTTATCTTACATGAGAGAAGGAAAATTACTCAATTGTAGCCCTCTCTAGCCTTCTTGTCTCATCTAAAGAGTGAAAAGATAAAGAAAAAAGGGATAAACACTTGTAGACATCACAACCCAGGGACACTAATGCACTAAAGGCCTAAGATTTAATCATATGCACTCCCCCAAGACCTTACCACCGTATCAACAAGAGCTCCAGAATAGTAAGGGGATCACACTGAGAGAGCAGCTAAGCATAGGCTCTTTTTAAGGAGGAGACTTGGGGAATCCTAAAGACATCACAGGAGACAACATTTTTTTAAAAACTAAAATAATTTGAAGACTCTTACATATACAGCTACAGTAAATATTAAACACAGTCAACACCTACCCAGAAAACATAAAACTTCATGCTGATGGTCTGTTTACTCCAGTTCTTGTTACCCAATACGTCATGTTTGGCTTCCAACAAAAAATTACAAGTCACGTTAAAAGCAAGAAAAAGCAGTTTTCATAAACAAAGCAAGCCTCAGATCCCATTCAGGTGTGACACAGACTTGGGGATTATCATACATGGAGAGGCATTACATAACAACAATGGGGTCAATTCCCCAAGATGTCACAATAATCCTTAACCTCTAACAACAAAGTATCAAAATATGTGAGGTAAAAATTCACATATATGTGAGGTAGAACTGCAAGTAGACATAGATGAATCCACTGTTATTATTGAGGAATTCAACACCCCTCTATTAGAAAAGAATAGATTCAGCAGGCAGGAAATAGGTAAGGATATAGTTGACCTGAACAGCACTGTCAATCAACTTGATCTCACCAATATTTATAAAAACTTCGTCCAACAACAGAATTCACACATGAAACATTCCCCAAGATGTACCACATTCTGTGCCATAAAACGCACTATAACAAATATAAAAGAAGTCATACAAAGAATATTTTCAGACTATAAAGAAATTAAAACTAGAAAGCCATTACAAATAGCTGGAAAATCCCAAAATGTTTAGAGATTAAACAACACACTACAACCACATGGGTGAAGGGAAAAGTCTCAAGAGAAAAAAATTTTTAAGTGAAAATAGAAATATAAATTAAAGTTGTAAGATGCAGCTAAAGCAGTACTTAGAGAAAATCTGATTACATTAAATGCATGTATTTGGAACGATTTATTATTTATAAATTTAATATTTACCTGATTGACGTCTCTCTGTTTCCAAAATACTGGGAAAGATGGATCCTTCTTTAGGTGATACAGTGACAGAAGAAGGAGCCCCACCCCACACAGGAAGGCAAAGATGGGAATCACTAGGAAGGTGAGCAGGACTTCAGCCATGGTACAGTAAGGCTGCTCAGACAAAGAAGGTGGTTTGCATCTTTGAAAGTTCTTTGCTGCCTCAGGCAGCTGGACGTTGAGAGCACATTCTTGACTAGAATTCCAGGCCCACACACATCACAGAGCTTCAGCAAAGGCACCGGAGGTTCTGAGGGTGGGGGAGGGGACAACTAAGGGAAAGTGAACTCACAACCCACCCCTATCATCCAGCCCAGATCTGTCCATTCCTACAGGTCCCTTTGCATCGCTCCAACCTAACTTCCAACTCCACCCATTCACCATACCCTATGTTTACCTTAATGAACTTTTCTGTTTATTCTTCCTGTTACCCAGGTAGTACCTGAGACCCTTTAATGCTTGGTGATCTCATTTTGGACCCCACATAACCTTTCAAAGTCTGCTGAGCCCATGGATTTACACATCCAAGATCTACTCTGTCTTCAACAGCAGCTTCCCCTTTTATATAATGTGTTTCTACTTGAATAAAACCTAAAATCTATTCATCAGCAGCCCCACCCTCATATCTCCCTAAAGAATCCACATTCACTGAAAATATGAAAGGACAGAGTAGCCTATAACAATGAACAAAAATGATGAGAGAGAGAGAGAGAGAGAGAGAGAGAGAGAGAGCAAATAATTTTTCTTCCAGTATCACTTTTAGGCTATTCAGCCCCTTTTAGCCACACATTATCTCTTCCTATTTTTCCCTCTTTCTTCTTTCTGCCAAATCCCTTCTCTCCCTGCAACACTTTAATTTCTTCACTTTACAGAGCAGTTGCACTGGCCTACAACCCACAGGACCAAACTCACCTTGACTTAGAGAATGGGTTTTTCTTTAGCATGACTTTTAAAGAGCACAACCCATTAGAAACACATTTTTGTGTTTCTTGACTCACACCTATGGTTACTTCTTCCATGAAAAGTTTATGATTTTTTTCTCACTCTACTTTCTAACTTTTTACCAAAATCCCTATTGGCATCTTCATAGCTTTTAAAACAACAATATGTGTGTTTTTTTGTTGGTGGTGTATATGTATTTATTTCATCTCTTTATGCCTGTTAATCATTTAATAATAACTCTTCAGCTTCATTCTTTAGATATAAATTTCTGAAATGAAGCCTACTGTGTCAATTCCTTACTTTGCTTGCCTGCATTCCCTCGCTGAGTCTTGGTGAATCAGTCTTGACCCCAGACACACAATCCTTTCTCTCCCATATGAGGAAGTTTTACCAGTAATGTCAGCTCCTTTCTTTGCCTGTCTTCTGTATCCACAGCTTTGCCATTGTCCCCACCCAAAAGGAAGGCACACTTCAAGCCTTCCCCCCTTTCTCATATCCTCCCTTGTCTGTTGAGGGATTCAGAAAAATCCCTCAACATCTTTGTATCTCTGGTATTTTTTTATACCAAGTCTGGTTCTGGCTGTTTCTAAGGTCGTTAGGACTCACAACTGCAAAAACATCATTTTTAAAAAAATATATATCTTTATTGATTTCAGAGAGGAAAGGAGAGGGAAAGAGAGAAACATCAATGATGAGAGAGAATCATTGATTGGCTGCCTCCTGCACATCCCCTACTGGGGATCAAGCCCACAACCTAGGCATGTGCCCTTGACCAGAATCAAACCTGGGACCCTTCAGTCCACAGGCTGACGCTCTATCCACTGAGCCAAACCAGCTAGGACACAAAAACATCTTTTAAAGAATAAACAAGGTCAGCTCACTAAGAAATTTCCAGGTGATAAGTAGTTATAAAAATGGCACATAGGACCTTGTCACAAAAAGGAAAGGCTGAGAACCTTGTTCAGATTAAAGGAGACTAAAGACACATGACAACTAAATGCAGCATGTGAATCTAGACTGAATCTTGTAATGGAAGAGTTTCTTGGCAAACAAAACACAAAGGACATTACTCAGTAAGTTGGCAAAAATAGAATAAGAATGGGAAATTAGTTAAAAGTTTTATGCCAAAAGTTAAATTTACTGAAGGGAGTAACTACTGTATTAAGACACACTGCTTTTTCTTAATAAACACACAATGAAATATTCAAAGAGAAAATGGATGGCCCTAGCCAGTTTGGCTCAGTGGATAGAGCATTAGCCTGCGAACTGAGGGGTCCAGGGTTTGATTCTGGCCAAGGACACATGCCCGGGTTGCAGGCTTGTTCCACAGTAGGGGATGTGCAGGAGGCAGACAATCAATGATTCTCTCTTATGATATCTCTCTCCCTCTCTCCCCCCCTCTCTGAAATCAATCAAAAATATATTTTTTTTTAAAAAAAAAGAAAGTGGATGATGAATGAAACATATTTTCAAATATTCAGGTATATGTGGATAGTTTTCATTAATGTATATGTGTGTGTGTTCATATATAGAGAAATGGGAGGAAGGGAAGGAGGCAGCAACAGAGAGGAGAGAGAGAGTAAATGGGCCAAAATGTTTGTAGGTATATCTAGACAAAGGGTTTATGATTTTACCCTCCATGCAAAATTTTAAATACATTTTATAAAATGGACCACGGACTGTTGTCTTGAATTTTAGCTTAAGTTTGAGATTTCTGCCTTTGATCCCCACAGCCAATCACCACCACCATACCCAGAACACAGAAGTGTGCAATGCCAGCTTTACCACAGTTGTCTTGGGTTCTATCCCAGGCAAGTAACCTGGGATCCTCTGCACATTTGAAACACGCTAACATTTTAACAAGACGGTACAAAATACTCCCCCCATGCCCTCCAAAAATAATCTTTAAAAACTATACAATATAGAACATTTTAAAAAATCAAGATTTTTACCACATAGAACCCCTAATTTCTTATCTGGTCCACCAAGTCATTTGTCTTCTGGGTTTTGTGGAGTGAATGGCTTTGCCAGCATTTCCTCTGTCTGCTAGTCACTTGAAACCCCTCACCTGGATTTCCATCTTCCAGAAATGTTGACATCTTTTGTTATATCCTATGCCCTCTTGTCATTCTTAAGCACATACTCTTCTAAACCCTTTACTTATTCTAACAGCTTTATTGAAATTATAGTTCATATACCATACAATTCAACCATTTACAATGCATAATTACATGATTTTTGTTATATTCACAGACATGGTCATCCCCACAGTCATTTTTAAAATATTTTCCTGACTTCAGCCCTGGCTAGGTGGCTCAGTTGGTTGGAGCATCATCCCATACACCAAAAGGTTGTGGGTTCAATTCAAAGTCAAGGCTCATACCTAGGTGCAGGTTCCTCCTACTGGAAGCAACAGCTCTCTCTCTCTCTCTCTCTCTCTCTCTCTCTCTCTAAAATCAATTAGAAAAAAACATATCCTCAGATGGGGTAGAGTGGAGGGGAATTAAAATCTAAATAAATAAATAAAATATTTTCATGACTTCAAAAAGAAAGCTTATAATCTTTAGCGATCATCTCTCTCCTCCCTCCCCACCCCACCCCTGGCCCTAAGAAACGACTAATTCTCTGTGTAGATTTCCTTATCTGTATATTTTTCATATGTAGTCATTTTTAATTGGTTTCATTCACTTAGCACAGTGTTTTCAAGGTTTATCCATGTTATAGCACATATCAGTATTATTTATTGCCAAAATATTACATTTTCGAAATATACCATGTTTTATTTACCTGTTTATCAGTTGCTGGACATTTGGTTTGTTTACACTGTTTGACTATCCTATATAATAAAAGGGTAATATGCAAATCAACCAAACTGCAGAACAACTGGTTGCTATGACGCGCACAGGAGCTGCCCCCTGGTGGTATTTTTGAAATATACCATGTTTTATTTACCTGTTTATCAGTTGCTGGACATTTGGTTTGTTTACACTGTTTGACTATCCTATATAATAAAAGGGTAATATGCAAATCAACCAAACTGCAGAACAACTGGTTGCTATGACGCGCACAGGAGCTGCCCCCTGGTGGTCAGTGCGCTCCCACAGGGGGAGCATCACTCAGCCAGAAGCCAGGCTTGCGGCTCATGGCTGGTGAGCGCAGTGGTGGTGGCAGAAGCCTCTCCCGCCTTCACGGCAGTGCTAAGGATGTCCAATTGATGGCTTAGGCCCACTCCCCCTTGCTCCTCCGAGGGCTCCCGGGCTGTGAG